ACAGCCTCTGCCTCCTGAATGCTGGGATTAAATCTGTACACCACCATGCCCTGGTGATTTCTCTACTTTTAACTTATTCAAAATTCATCTACTTCTTATCCTCTACTTCTGGATTTTTTTAAAAAAAATTATTTTATCTTATATGTATGAGTGTTTTACCCAAATGCCTGGCGCTTGTGAAAGCCAGTTGTTGGATCCCGTGGAACTGGAGTTATAATTGTGAGCTACCATGTGGATGGTGAGAATTGAACTAGGTCCTCTTCAAGAGCAGCTGCTACTCTTAGCCATAGAGCCATCTCTCCAGCCACCCCTACCCTGACTTTTTCCTTAAAGAGAAAAAGTAATGTTAAAATAAAAAGATTGTGTAGATACTCTGTTCATAACCCCCCTTTTCTCCCCACACAATATAAAAACCAGACCTCCCTGAAAGGTGGTATTACATAGGGCTTCTACTGCCTTTAGACTCATCTATGTATTTATTATACAGGACACTGAACTGAGGCTCTTTTAGGGCTTCTGTGTTCGATGCTAGTTCTTATCTGTCTGCTGTCTGTGTATCTTCCTACTCCTCAACTACTCAAAAGTTGCCATCTCAGTGATTTTTCTTGTGCTCCTTCCCCCCAATCTAAAATACCTTCCCTGTCAATTGTTTTTTCTTTCTGGAGCTGAGGACCAAATCAGGTAAATGCTCTACCACTGAGCTGAATTTTATATTTTATACTCAGTATTTACTGCAATCTTACTTTTATTTATGTGTCTTCATTTTTGTTTATTTTTATTAGAATGGAAGCTACAGATGAAGGGAGGAATGGTCTATTTTGTTTTTTTTTTTTGTTTTTTGGAAGATTTATTATTTATTTACTTATTTATTATGTATACAGTGTTCTGCCTATATTTCTGCAGGTCAGAAGAGGGCACTAGATCTCATTATAGATGGTTGTGAGCCACTATATGGTTGCTGGGAATCAAACCCAGAACCTCTGGGAGAGCATCGAGTGCTCTTAACCTCTGAGCCATCTCTCCAGCCCTTGTCAGTTTTTTTTTGGGGGGGGCAGGGTTTCGAGACAGGGTTCTCTGTGGCTTTGAAGGCTGTCCTGGAACTAGCTCTTGTAGACCAGGTTGGTCTTGAACTCACAGAGATCCACCTGCCTCTGCCTCCTGAGTGCTGGGATTAAAGGTGTGTGCCTTTACACACCTTTAGATACACTAGACCCCTCCTTCATCAAGTATATATAAGCAATGAAAACTGCTGAGAAACCACTGGGCTTCCTAGCAGCCTCTCAGCTAAGCTAAACTGCCTAGAAGAGGCTCAGACCAGCTGAACTGCCTGCAATGAGTTCCAGGTTTGTGGCTTCCAGAAGCCATCATCTATGGTAATTAATGTTCAGTGATGCATTTGCCTTTGAGTCATTTCTGCTCCTGTAAATAACCTCTCACCCATACTCCTATAAATAACACTAAGAAAACTCACTGGTTCACCAGGTTGTACTTGGTGGTCTGTCGTTGATTCCTATCTGGGGTGAGTAGGTGTTCATTCATATCTTCCCAGGAATAGCGTCACAAAACAGGACAGATTCAGAGGGAAAAGGAAACAACAGGTAGTCACAAGGAGCTCAAAGGAACAAAAAGGATGGACAATTCCAAATGTAATATCCAAGAAGGATGACATTTCCAAAGGGTATATTTTATCTTTTAATGAAAATCTGTTTTTCTGTTTGTTGGTTTGGTTTTTCCAGACATGGTTTCTCTGTGTAACAGCCCTGGCTGTCCTGGAACTTAGTTTGTAGACCAGGCTGACCTTGAATTCATAGAGATTTGACTGCCTCTGCTTCCCTAGTGATGGAATTTTTTTTTTTTTTTTTTTTTTTTTTTTTTTTTTTTTTTGGAGGTTGTGGGAGGTTATGAGGGGGTAGAGAACAGAATTTCTCTTTGTAACAGCTCTGGCTGTCCTGGAACTCAGCTTGTAGACCAGGATGACCTTGAACACACAGAGATCTGTCTACTGCTTCCTGGGTGCTGGGATTAAAAGCATGTGCTATCAAGCTTGGCTAACCTTTTTTTTTTTTTTCCTGATTCACATTTATTGTAGAAGGCATACAACTACCACAATGTACATGTGATGAAGGTCAGAAGAAAACTTGTAAGAGTCAGCGCTCTCCTTCTACCATGTGCTTCCCAGGGATTGATAAACTCAGGTCATTCATTCGGTTTAGATGCAAGTATCTCTATTCCCTGAATCATTTTACTGGCCCTTATTTTTATTTTTAAAATTTATACTTGGTTTTCTGAGAGGCAGAGTCTAATTATATATTTCAGGCTGGCCTTGAATTTGGTCTATAGTCCAATCCAACTTGAACTTTACCTTGCCTCGGGCTTCTGAGTGCTAGGATTATGGGCCTGTGCTACACAATTTTAATAAGCAGAGCTTATTAAAGTTTAAAAACTTTTAAACAAGCTGAACTGTTGGGCCACATGAATACCCTTGATAGGCACTGAATACTTAACTACCTCCTGAACAGTTCTATCTCATCCATTCTTCACATTAACCTAGGACAGGAGGAAAGGTAGGCAGATTATCAGTGAAAAAAACAGTGTAGACAAGAGGATTTACAGGCTTGGGGAGACGCCTTAGCTAGGGTTTAAAGTACTTGCTCAGAGTTGAGTTTGGCTCCAGAACACACATGAATGCTGAATGATTATGGCAACCAGTCTGTAATTTCACCAAAGACAGAGGATTCCCAGAGACAGCTGGATAGCTAGAGTAGCCATATCAGGCAGGGAGTTCTGGGCTTGAATGAGAGACCTGTCTCAAAGAATAAGAAACAAGGACCATGGAAAAAAGATTCCCAGTATCACTCTTGGGTATCCACATACATACGCATGCATGTGCACTTGCATTCAAATATGTGCACCCCCACCCCCACTGTGTACTCCAGAAAACAAACAAACAAAAACAAAAAACAATGGATTTTCCAAAGTTTACAGGTCTAGTTGAGACAAAAGTGAAACTGTGGATGATTGTTGCCCCTGAAAGAGGCCAAGAAGGCTAAATCAGAGGCAAAAACAGAAGCATCAGTAAAGAAATGGACCAAGTAACCAAGACCTTACCAGGACACTTGGACATCAGAAGGACAGTTAAGTTTCCCAGAAAAAGAATGTAGTCCCTATGGCTGATTAGTTCCTCAAGCCTACTATAAGGATTCTGAGAACAACAGCCATGCTCATAGATTTATTCCCAGTTTCTATCAGAACCCTGAACAGACTTCAGACACAAATACTTTTTGTCCAAGGCATACAGAAAAGATTGAGGAAGTCCAGGTGTGGTAGCACTTGTCTTTAATTCCAGCACTCAGGAGCCAAGTGGATTCCTGAGTTCCGGACCAGCCTGGTCTACAGAGTTAATTCCAGGACAGCCAGGGCTACACAGAGAAACTCTGTCTCAAAAAAAAAAAAAAAAAAAAAAACATAGGAGGAGGAGAAGACCAACCAAACCAAAAAAGAACAACAACAAAAAACAACCTCCACCCCCCAAAACAAACAAACAAACAAACCGGGGAGTGGAGAGATGTTTCAGTGGTTAAGAGCACTGACTGCCTGATTGCACTGGGTGTGGTGGTGCACGCCTTTGATCCCAGCACTTGGGAGGCAGAGGCAGGTGGATCTCTGAGTTTGAAGTCAGCCTGGTCTACAGAGCACGTTCCAGTATAGCCAGGGCTACATAGAGAAACCCTGTCTCAAAAAACAAAACAAAACAACAACAACAAAAATATCACTGGCTGCCCTTCCAGAGGACCCATGTTAAATTCTCAGCACTGCCATGGTGGCTTACAACTATCTTTAATTCCAGCTGGACTTGGGGAATCTAATAATCCCTTCTGGCTTCTACAGGCAACAACATGGTGCAAATACATATATGCAGGCCAAACACATAAGATAAAATATTAAATAACTAAAAAGAGGTTGGCATGGTGGTGCCAGGACAGGCTCCAAAGTTACACAGAGAAACCCTGTTTTGGAAAGCCAAAAAAAAAAAAAAAAAAAAGTATCCTCATAAAAAGAAAAGAGTGAGCCGGGTAATGTGGCGCACGCTTTTAATCACAGCACTAGGGAGGCAGAGGCAGGTGGGTCTCTGTCAGTTCGAGGCCAGCCTGGACAGCAAGTTACAGGACAGCCAGGGCTACACAGAGAAACCCTGTCTCAAAATAAAGTAAATAAATAAAAGGAAAAAAATGAATGTGCTCAAACAGGAAACACTCTTGAGAGAACAGAAGGGGGTAAACACGTTCTTGAAAGGCAGCGACACACACAACATTCGAACCAACGAACATCTCTGGAAGCCATTATTCCCAAGAGATTAGCAGCAAACACCACCTGCTGACAAGAGGGCGGGACTAAATGGACGCTGGGGGATGGGCCAGCCTGAAGAAACCCGTAGGCCTGAGCTTCAAGGCGGGGCCAATAGGTAGCGCCAGCAAAAGAGTGTCCTCCCACAACTAATACGTGACGGAGGTACGTCAGCATCCCTTCCGGTTTGGTAGGTTAGAGCGGGAAACAAAAGGAGACCGAGAACGCATGCGTTGTGTGGGTCCCGGATTCTGGTGGGTTCTTCCGCTCAGGCCAGGAGGAAGCGCTTCCGGGTCGCTGCCGGCTGCCGGTTCTTGGCGCGGTAAGTGCGGAAACGTGGCTGTTGCCGTCTCCTTGCTCGTTCTTTCTTCCTGCTTCCAGAGAAACCCGGTTCCTTTGGCTCGCCTCCCTAGCAACTCATAGTCCGCTTTTTTATGCTTAACGACATCCTGCTCATTGGCCGCTTCCTTGAGTCTAAGCCCCACCCATTACACAAGTTCCGTCATTCATTGGTTTCACTTCCTGTCACCCAGCATTTCTTTCAGTTAATTGGCTTCAGGCAGGCCGCGCGCATTTTTGCGAGTAGCATCCCTATAAGGACAAAATCCTGTCAGAGACCCGCCCCTGCCTCCTTCCTGTTGGTCAAGCTCACAGTCATTATAATGAGCAAAGATGGGCGGTGGTGGGTAGGGTTTTAGGGTACAGATTCTGTCAGTACTTTTGGGATGAGGTTGGGCGCTGTTTGCCTGTCACACGGACCTGGGGAGCTTTGGGCTAGGGAATGGCAGCGGCTAGTTCTGCGTGGATAAAATTAGAACAAAAGCTAGAGTAGAACCGAGTGTGGTGGCTGACACACGCCTTAAATCCCAGCATTCGGGGGCTGAGGCATGCGGATCTCTGTGAGTTTGGGACTAGCCTGATCTATATATAGTGAGTTCCACACCTGCCAGGACTACATAGTGAGACCCTAGCTCATTAAAAAAAAGAAAACAAAAAGGCGGGGAGGGACACCAATTTCTCCTGCGCTCTTGCTACATTGCTGGGCATCCATCCCTTCCTTGTGTGTGTTCTAAGTGAGCCCCACCCAGTGTGCAACCCAAAGTCAAGCTTACTTATCACTGGGTCTTATGAGCTGATGGATTTTAATTCCGTTCCTTGATGACTTTCCTGGTCATCAGCTTTAATTCACAAAGTTGATTTTATTTGTTCTCACACATTAGTTCATCATTCATTCTTCTGTCTGTCTGTCTATTTATCCATGCTTCCTAGTATATTTTATCCTTGGTTGTGTGTAGTGCAGATTGACTGTGATCAGTAAAAGAGGTGGTTCACATCCAAAACCTTTTTTGGATGTGATATGAACCAAAAGAGCAAAAAAAAAAAAAAAAAATGGTATGTGTGTGTGTGTGTTTAAAGAGAACTTTACTAGATCCCTGCTATTGCTAATTTTGTACATAATCACAATGCCACATTCCATCTCTGGCTCCCAGTCTCTTCTCTCCTTGAGCAGCATACAACTTTATCCATTATTTTATTTTGTTGTCATAATAACCTTGAGGATGATATAATTGTTATTATCCCCATTTTTACAGATGAGGAAACTGAGGCCCAGAGAGGTTAAGTGTATTGGCCAAAGTCAAACAGCTAGTAAGTGATGGAGCCAGGACTCAAACTCAGGTCTGTCTGTTTTCGAGAGGGAAGGGAAGTGTCTCTGCTACCTCCCACTCCACCCTACCCCTAAATCAAATTACAACTGAATCAAAACAAAACAAAACAAAACATACTCACTTGACCCTTTCCCTCAGCTTAGGAGCCATGTCCACCTTGTTTCCTTCACTGTTCCCTCGTGTGACTGAGACACTGTGGTTTAATCTGGATCGACCCTGTGTGGAGGAGACAGAGCTGCAGCAGCAGGAGCAGCAGCATCAGGCCTGGGTGAGTGAGGACCTAGCTCAGCATGGAGATGACCTTGCCTTATACTGGAGATCTGCTTAGGAGAAGTATTTTTCTCCGAGTTGTGAATAGTCAAGCTGGGTAACTGGAGGCTAAAGTTCTCACTTTGTGGTATCCTAACTGTCTGAGGGACCATAGGACTTCAGAGCTAGATTAGATGTCAAGCTCCTGATAGCTTAAGTTCTTTTCTATAAATCACAGGACTTAATCATTTTAACTTAACTTCTTAGTGAGGACCTACAAGATGCCATATTCTTGGCTAAGTATCTCATTTCACCCTCACCAGACATGAAAAAAAACTGAGGCCAAACGACTTTACATAAGTCCATCAATTTAATGAGCAGATGACAGAAGAAAGGGGATCAAATCTTCCTGAGAACTGGGGGTGGCAGAGGCGGGGGAAGCTTTGATTCAACATTTGGGGATCTTTTAAGGGGTAGAGTAAGCCAGTCCCATGCCCTTGACCTGCTCTGCGTTGGGCCTTGGCCCTGCTTTTCCCCATACTCCTTTGCCCACAGCTCCAAAGCATCGCAGAGAAAGACAACAACCTGGTACCTATTGGCAAGCCAGCCTCAGAGGTGAGTGGCTCCAGCGGATGGGGCCTTTGTGAAGCCCAGTAGACCAGGACTTCATTTTAATTTAATGGCCTTGCTTCAGACTCAGAACAATTGTGGTTCTCAGTCTGGGTAGACTGCAAAAGTGGGAACCCAAGGGGGGGTAGGCATTGGGCCTGGTACTAAGGTCCTTTGGGTCATGCAGCAGCCTCCCAGACTCAAGGTGGGCAGGGTTGGGAAGGAAGAGGCTCCAAGTAGGTCAGCTCTTGACCTCATCCAGGTAGCCCTGAGACCTACAGACTCTCTCTTGCCCCACCAGCACTACGATGATGAGGAAGAAGAAGATGATGAAGATGATGAGGACAGTGAAGAGGATTCAGAAGATGATGAGGACATGCAGGACATGGATGAGATGAATGACTATAATGAGTCACCTGATGATGGAGAGGTCAATGAGGTAGGCGGGGTGTAGGGGAGTGCCTTTGTTCCTAGGCTCCTGCCCCTGATCTAATTGATGGCCAAGGGATGCAGAAACCTTGGCTCTACCCAGGGGCAGGATCTGGGCTGAGGCTGGCTGAGGCCCCTCCCCACCCACACCCAGCCTCCTCTTCAGGTGGACATGGAAGGCAACGAACAGGATCAGGACCAGTGGATGATCTAGGTAGACAAGCCAAGGTGGCCTCAGGGTGATTCCAGGCCACCCCAGCCTATCTTGCATCCACAGCCTCAGCCCCTCAGTCTGCAGAACCAGCTTGTGGCTGTAGTGTCTAAAGCTTTCCCTTAGGCACTTTCTCAGCTGCTGCCAGGATAAGGACTCGTTTGGCCCTCCCAGGCCATCAGTCTTCCCTTGAATCCCTAGAGCCTGAGCCCATCCCACCTTCCTGGCTGGTACCTCATTCCTTGGTTGCCAGGTGTGGTCCCTTTCTTACCCTCTTTAATAAAGACACAGGACTGATTCTTTTCCCCAATGTCTATTCCCTGTTTGTTGGTGGGACCCAGAGGCGTCCAGCATCTTTCCTTGGACATTGGGAAGGGGTCATTTAAGGGATCTTAAGCAAACCTAATGGACCATGTGGGCCAGAATTGGAGCCCAGGCTTCTGTGATTGGTAATTCCTGTGGCCTAGCTTGTACCAGATGCACTACAGGGCCTCATTGTCTGCAGCTGCCTCTGATCCCATCCAGAATCTGTGGGAGTTTCACAACTGGGAGCCTCTGGAGCTCTGCCAGCCAGCTGTGTTTTTGTTTTATGCTTAGAGATTTTTGTCTGTCTGTCTGTCTGTATGTATGTATGTATATCACATGTGTGCCTGTGCCATGTGAGTGCTGAGTGCTGGGAACTGAACCCAAGTCCTTTAGATAGGGAGTAGCAGCCAGTGCTCAGAACTGCTGAGCCATCTTTCCAGCCCCTTAGTGTAGACTGAATCTCAGAAGAAGGAAGGACTCACCTGGAGGGAGCAATCAATAACAGAACTAGGCTGAGGGCTCAGGCCTCTTGCTTCCAGTCCCTGGTTTTCTAGAAGGGGATCTTGTAGGACCAAGAAGGCTGATAGAATTTGACACTTTGAATTGGTATGGAGGTTGGGGGCAGGCAAAGTTGAGAAGAAAGCCTTCCTAGGCTGAACCTAGCTTGTGTTCGACACTAAACAGAAAGGGGAAGGGGATATTCTGAGGTCCTTGCTTGAGTAGGGTTGGGATTGTATCAGTAACTATCCTAGGTCCTGGATCTCAGCCAGGTCCAGAATAGGTGAGTTGGGCTATGCCATCCTTGATGGCAGGGAAGTCTGGGAGGCTGGTGTGGTGGAGGCGGCATCGATAGCGGCCACAACTCTTGGTGTATTGTAGGAAGCGGGGTGCACCAGGAAAAAGCACATGGTCAGCCAATACAGTGGCATCTTTTGGGAGCAGAGCATGGGCCTCCAGTAGCTGCAGATCCCTTAAGTAATACCGAGGTCGATGTGCCAAGAGCACCAGATCTGCCCGATTCAGCTGGTGCTGAGCTCTTAGGCGCGGGATCACTTCCTCTGAGCTGCCCACAATGAGCTCCACCTGTAGGGAAAGCCATAGCTGAAGGTGAGGATAAAAAGGACTGCTTTCCCACTCCAGACCCCACCAGGATCTTGCTGATTTCATGCCAGGCACTGGTCTAGGCCCTCACAAGTGTTTCACAGTTCCTTTGGCCTCTGAATCCAGTAGTCAGCATCAATATTGTAATTTCCATTATGTGCCCTTGAAGAAGCTGAAAATCAGAGGACATGTGCTTTTCCTGAGCTCACACAACTAAATGAGCAATAAGATTTAGACTCAGATTTGTTGGGATATAGAGAACTTCCTCTTAGCTGCTGCTTTTGTAATCCTGTAGGAAATAAAAGTAAATGACTTGGGATTGTGGGAGTAGGAGCTACATGCCCTCCAGGGTGCCAGCTGCCTGAGTGGAGCTGCTTACTTGAATGGGAATCTTTCACAAAAGAGGCCTGGCCAGAGCAATTCCTAGGGTAACTGGGGAGAGATCAGCTTCGGGGAGATGGGAGGCTGACCATTTGTTCATCAAAGCCAGCCAACCGGATGAGTTTTTCAGCCACTGCTGCAGTACGAGGGTCACGCTCTACAGTGAGAAGCCGACTCCCAGGGGGCAAAGCACGTGCAATAAGCAGTGTAGAGTATCCGCAGTAGGTGCCCAGCTCCAGCACACAAGCAGGGGCCTTCTCTTCTACCAGCCGCATCAGAATCTGACCTATGGGGCAAGGTAGCTGTTGTAGAAGACATCCAAAACATGTGTGCCCAGAATCAAACATGCTGTTGTGCCTTCTTCATGTTGTATTTATAAACGAGGCTGACTGCCCTTTCCCACACCTATCTCCATCCACCTGGGCTACTTGAATCCAAGCATTCTAGATTCAGTTTAAATATCCCTTCCTCCAGGAGGGCCCAGGCAAAAACTACCACCCTATCTTCCAAATTCCTGAGACATTTTCAGTTTCATACTGAAACCCCTGCACTCCCTTATTGCTCATTGTCTTTTTGATTTTGGAATAGGATAAATCTCTATTTTGGGGGGGGGGTGTTTCAAGACAGGGTCTTTCTGTGGCTTTGGATGGATAAATCTCTTAATACTTAGAAGTGCTGTGCTGTCTAGGCAGACAGCTATCCTGAATTGGATGTGGAACTCTCTTTGGTAGGAAAGGAAGTCTAGAACAGATAATTACAAAGGTCTGAGTTATGATTATTCCCGTGTTATCCTCTCTTTGAGGCCAGCATTTGTGACTGGTCCACCCTCTGTGACCTCTACCTCCTCCCTCAGTACCTGGTATGAAAGAGTGACAATAAATGTCTGCTGGATAATTGAATAACCTGGTCTAGGCTCCTCATTTCCAAATGAAAAGATAAAGTCTTAAACACAGTCATGAAACTTCCTATTTACCCAGTAAAGCAGTGGATAATGCCAGATTTTCTTCACCATCTTGGGATTATTTTTCACACAGAAGGCTAGTGAAGGGGACACTGACCTTTAACAGGGCCCATGTGGTTCAAGTACTCGCAGCAGCTGCTCCAATGGTCTAGAGTGGTGAGGATGTGACCAGGATCTCCAGGCAGGGCATGGGTGAGCACGTAGCTGAAGGCCCGTTCCTCAATTCGAAGTCCTGACAGGCAGTCCCTGAAGCTTCTCAGCAGGACTGTACGCACCAGCAGTCGGAAATGGTGCCGGTATCTCACCAGCAGGGTCACCACAAGTGGCAGGAATGCCAGTGCAATGGCAGGGGACATTGTCCCTATCTGGGTCCTAGGATAGAGGGAGGCTGGGAGAGAAACCTACATGTACCATTTGCTTGTCGTTGTGCAGTCTTTAACAGTTGCAATAACCATGCTTACCCAAACCATGGCTGAGGGGCTAACTTGCCAGACATAGCAGAACTGGAGTTTGAACCCTGAATGTGCATCTTCCAATTGTGTGCTGCCTGTGTTTAGCACCCAACTACAACTATATCTCTTTCTGGTCCTGACTGTGGATCCATTTCTATATTGTTCCCCAAACCCACCCACTTTTTCACATCCTTAATATCTCTCTTCAGGGCTGTTTTCATCAGTTTCTTAGGATATCTTCCTCCCACCATACTCTGATCCATTACAGTGTAGCCAAAGAGAAAAGCTTTCCAGGCGTTGGTGGCACATACCTTTAATCCCAGCATGGGAGGCAGAGGCAGGTAGATCTCTGTGAGTTTGAGGCCAACCTGGTCTCCAGAGCTATTTCTAGTACAGCCAGGGCTATACAGAAACCCTGTGTCTAAAAAACAAACAAAAAACAGAAAATAGAGAAGTTTTGTCATCAAACCGCTTCAGACTCTCACTATGCTCTGCTTCAGTAAAAGATATCAAAACATTATGCCTAAAAAACAACAATAACAACAAAAAAGCATACTATGCCTGGGGCTGGAGAGATGGCTTGGTGGTTAAAAGCACTTGTTGCTCTCAAAGAGGACCTTGGTTCAGTACCAGTACTCACATAGTGGTTCACAAACATCTATAACCCCAGTCACAGGAGATCCAACCCCCTCTTCTGACCTCCAAGGGCTCATACAGTGGTGAACATGAATATAAGCAAAACATAAAATCTTAACAGCAAATACCAAAAACAAACAAAGACATTGGAGAGGTGGCTCAATGGTTAAGAGCACTGACTGCTCTTCAAAAGCCCTGGGTTTGATTCTCAGCACCCACATTGGGTTGCTCACAACTGTAACTCCAGTCCCAGGGGACTTTTAAAAATAAATCTTTTTTAAAAAATCTTTTAAAAATAAAAATACTATCTATGGTATTTTGGTGCACAGTTGTATAATCCCATCATGAATGCCAAGTTTGAAGCCAAACTGGGCAACCTGTCTCAAAAATAAATTCACCCTCTATAACACGTTAGGCTGGAGTGCGTCTTTTCTATCCAAGGGCTCTTGTCTGCTCTTCTCATGAGGTGTTTTCTGTGTATTTTCTCCACTCCTGTCTCTTTTGTATTCCCCTCTACTAAGAATTCAATTTATAAGTGAAACACACACATACTACACTCTCATACCATTGAGCTTACATCTCCAGGAACACCTATAGAGGCTAGCTGTCCTTTTTTTCCTCCCACTGTCCCCCTACCCAGATCTGACCTTGGCAGGCTGTTTTTGCAAGATCCTTGGTTAGAAGGGGGAATGTATGCTAAAATTTAGAGTATTTGAATGAATATTAAAGAGGTTTGCGATGTGGGCATGAATTAGTGTGCTTGGGAACCCACAAGGCCCTGCTTACCTGGGCTGAAGGCTCCTAGGAAAGACCAGAGTACCGGAATGGGAAGTCCTTGAGAGGAATAACCCTGAAGGAGGAGGCTGGACCTGATTTCAATTATTGATGCTGAGGCTATTGTTACCTGAGACCTGCAGTTTCAGGTTACCAGACCCAGGGACAAACTTCAGCTGCCTTTTTTTTTTTTTTTTCCCAGGAATCCTAGAGAAACTTAGCAGAACTCTAGGGTCTTGATTTGAAGAATTAATGTCACTAGATTTGGTGACTACTCCAACCCCTTGAGATCAGAATATGGGTCAAGACACAAGCCAAAATAAGTGGGACTCATTTGCTCAGTTCAAAATCCAAGTTTTTCTGTAAGTAAATGTTAGGGCATAGGTCACAGAGAAGAGTTATACTCTGTCCCTGTCTTCCAGTGGCTCACATTTGGTAGAAGAGATGAAGTCAGCAACTCAATACAATAGAATACGATGTGATCATGAGACTAGGGATTCCACTGCTATGGCGACTTTGAGCTGTTTTCTGATTAGCTACCTATCCAAATTGAACACTGGAGTGGTATACTGTAGATAGTAAATATTTGTTGTTTCTTTTTTTAAAAAAGTATTTATATATTTCTACAGTGTTCTGCCTGCACATCGGAAGAGGGCACCAGATCTCATTATAGATGGTTGTGAGTCCCATGTGGTTGCTGGGAATTGAACTCAGGACCTCTGGAAGAGCAGCCAGTGCTCTTAACCTATGAGCCATCTGTCCAGCCCTTGAAGTTTATTTTTAATATATATGTATTCATGTTTTTGGTCTGCTTGTGTGTCTGTGCACCGTGTATGTGTCTGCATCGTTTATCCTGGAACTGGAGTTATAGATGATTGTGAGCCACCATATGGGTGCTGGGAATTGAACTGGGGTCCTCTGAAGGAGCAGCAGCCAATGCTCCAAATAACCGAGTCATCTCTGGCCTCAACATTTGCTAATTTAATTAAGTGAAGAGATTGAGGGGATCGGAATAGGATCAGAAAAGGCAAACAGGAAGATAAAGTTTGTATTTGGACTTTGAAGACTGTAATCTCTGATTTGGAGGGACGAGTGTGTGCCATCTGCCTGCGAAGGCAGAATTCACCTTAATCAAGAAACTGCCAAATAAGGAACTTACAGAAATGGCTCAGTGGCTACAAGCCGGCTGCCAGAAAGCCTGACAACTTGACTTCAATCCCTACGAACCATATAGTGGAAGGAGACAACCAACTTCCACAAGTTGTTCTGTGTCCTCCACATGTGCACCATGACACACGAGTTCACACTCATATGCGTACTCAAAATAAATAAAAATGTAGTTTTGCCAGGCATAGTGAAATACGCCTTGAATCCTAGCACTTGGAAGGCAGAGGCAAGTGGCTCTCTAAATTCGAGGCTAGCCTGGTCTACACAGCGAATTTCAGGCCAGCCAGGTTACATAGTGAGACCTTTCTCGGTCTCTCGGGGACACACACACACACACACACAAACACACACACACACACACACACACTCTGGCAAACAGCACACACACACACACACACACACACACACACACACTCTGGCAAACAGCACACACACACACACACACACACACACACACACACACACAGACAAAAAACACACAAACACACACACACAAATCACACACACACACACACACACACACACGCAAATAGCTCCCGAAGTGAAGCACATCCCACTCAACTCCACCATGCTACTCGCCCCTCGCGAGACACTGAAGAATTTATCTTGATAGATCTTGGGTTCACAAAGGTGGCCTTGACACCATGTGATCACACTTTGGCTAGAGGATCAAAGGATTCAGATCTAGAGACTGGGACAACAAAATCATGTGACTCGTCTCCCGGATCACGTGCCACGCGTCCTGTCACGTAGGTCGGGCTTTTCCATTGGTTGGCGATGGTCACGCGGAGGGGCGGGACCGGAAGCCGAGATTTGGCTGTGGGGCCAGAGAGGCTTTGGGACAGGCTAGGCGGGGGAAGGGAGCGGGAGGCCGCCGCGGGTCATGTGACCGGAAAGACTCCTGACGGACGCCGTCCCTCCTCGGCGCCGCCTGAGCGCCCGGCCCGACCCCGCCATGGGGTGCTGCTATAGCAGCGAAAACGAGGACTCGGACCAGGTGCGGCCGCGGCAGGCGGGGTTTGGGACTGTGGGCTACGACCGCGGGACCCGGGGCCCAGAAAAAGCCCGCAGCGGCTGGGAGCTGGATTGCAGGCTCACCGAGTACGGAGGCCTGGAGGGGACAGATTACGGAGAGGACGCCAAGCCGTGCTCCTACCCTCTTAAAGATCCTAGTCTTACTCCAGCCTGGGGTTACGCTGGCCGCCGCCTCACTCGGCCCCTCCCCTTCCATTTTTCCAGTACCCTCGTACTTTCACAGCTTGACTCTTCAGACTGGGTGCCTGGGAAGCAATCGCTTTCCTAGATTCCTTTGCCTTCACTGCTGATTGTATAAGTGTACTTTACGAACCCATTCTAGAGATAGGTAATTTGAGGCTCTTAGTCTCCCAAGGTAAATCAGAAATTTGTGTATATTCTGTTACTGGTGTTAGAGGTGTAATGTCACTACTGGCCTGGTGTCGGAGGCCTCTGGAAGTTGGTGGCATTTGAATTGGGCAGTGAAGAATTTGAGTGAGGACATCAGAACTTTAGGGGAGCAATAGAGTTTAGCTTTGACCGATATGGAGGAAAGAGGGTATAGGAAGCTCATTTTGGTTTGGTTTGCTGTTCCCTGACTGTGCCTGAAGGTTCCTCTAACTAGAGTGCATCCTGAAAAATGTGACTGTAGAGTTATTCCTTTCGAGAAAACATTTCCTTGGAGAGACTTACAGTGTTTTGCATTTTAAATTTTCCAACTTCTCCTTGGTGCATTCTTATTGCTTTCCACACCACATCCCCTACCCTCCCTGACCACTTTTGAGGAGGGGAAACTTGCAAGGCTGGGTCCCAGGCCACTGGCCATACCTCAAAGCCTAAGTTCTGCTTTCTACACACAGTAGGCACTGAGCCACAAAGAACAGTTTCACCCAGCCTAGTGAATACAGTCAGGGAAATAAATAGTATCACTGTACCTGGAAAGTTGTTCTTTCCCTATGAAGGTACTTTGGGTTAAGAACTGCAGTTCAGGAAAATGTGATTTGTATGGCAGGCTGAGTGGTTCCTGATTCTCAAAAACATTATTTGACCTGAGTTTGACATGCCTTGTGGCAAGAATCTTTCCCTTCATTCTGGCCTGCTAAAAGAAAGAACAGCAAAAAATAGGAACTCACCACAAAACATCAAAAAAATAAAAATAAAAAGGAGAGGGCATTATTCCTGCCTAATGACAGAGTTGAATCGGAATGGAACTAGTGTCTCTTACAGCATGTGGTCTAGTATGGGAAAAGGATACCTACTTCCAGGAGGGAGAGCTCGCCTTGCTTCTCTCCTGAAATTCCTCCTTCTCCTTGATTCTTATTTCTTGCCGAAACAGGGTCTTATGTAGCCCAGATTGGCAAACTTGCTATGTAATTAATGACCTTGAACTTCTGAGTTTCCTGCTTCTGCCTGAGTGCTGGGATCACAGGCATTATCTATGTGTCATCTATGTCTAGTGTATGTAGTAGTGGAAATCAAAGCCAGAACTTTATGCTTGCTGGGCATGTACTGTACTAATAGGGTCATAGCCCCAGCCTCCTCTTTAAGTAGGCCCTCCTATTTTCACTATTGTCTGTCCTTTTATTATAAAAAGCCAGCCATCCCTGTTGGCTTACATTTATAATCACAACAGTTTATGAAAGCTGAAGTGGAGAACTGCTTCCAAGTTTGTGGCCAGTCTGGCTACATAGTGAATTTGGGGCCAGTTCTGAGGTGTACAATGAGCCTGTGTTTCAAAGAAAAAGAGAAATTTACAAACATGGTTTTCAGAGGGCTTTTACATTTACCTGTTATAAATTAACATATGTTTAAAGCTGAGGAAAAAGTTCAGAGGATCTAAGATTTGGCAAACATTAGAAGTGCTCTAGCCAAGTTGTTTCCAAGCACAAGACATATGCTTTATGTACTGGGAGAAGCTCCGATGTAGTCAGTTGTGGGTCTGTGCTAAAGTAGATAAATCTTGACTCAGGTTGTATTGGCTTGGGAAGCAAACTTTCTCTTAAATTATTTATTTATTTATTTCTTTATTTATTGATTTTGAGACAAGGTTTCTCTGTGGCTTTGGAGGCTGTCCTGGAACTAGTTCTTGTAGACCAGGCTGGTCTCAAACTCACAGAGATCCACCTGCCTCTGCCTCCCGAGTGCTGGGATTAAAGGTGTATGCCACCACTGCCCGGCAAATAATTTATTTTTTATGTGCATTGGTGTTTTGCCTGCATGTCTGTGTGAGGGTGTCAGATCCCCTGGAACTGGAGTTACAGAC